CTAAAGCAGGAAACCCAACCCTTCTGAATGAGATCTACACAGAGCTCTACATCACAGAGGGAGGGACTGGAGAGGTCAATGATGAACATGAGGTCAGACAGATTGAAACAGCATCCAGGAAACCACACACACCAGAAACAACCATCAGACAAGAAGACATCTTTAAACTCCCACCTGGAAGACATGAACCAGTCAGAACAGTGATGACAAAGGGAGTGGCTGGCATTGGGAAAACAGTCTTAACACAGAAGTTCACTCTGGACTGGGCTGAAGACAAAGCCAACCAGGACATCCACTTCATGTTTCCATTCACTTTCAGAGAGCTGAACGTGCTGAAAGAGAAGAAGTTCAGCTTGGTGGAACTTGTTCATCACTTCTTTACTGAAACCAAAGAAATGTGCAGCTTTGAAGACTTCCAGCTTGTGTTCATCTTTGATGGTCTGGATGAGTGTCGACTTCCTCTGGACTTCCACAACAATCAGATCCTGACTGATGTTACAGAGTCCACCTCAGTGGATGTGCTGCTGACAAACCTCATCAGGGGGAAACTGCTTCCCTCTGCTCGCCTCTGGATAACCACACGACCTGCAGCAGCCAATCAGATCCCTGCTGAGTGTGTTGGCATGGTGACAGAGGTCAGAGGCTTCACTGACCCACAGAAGGAGGAGTACTTCAGGAAGAGGTTCAGAGATGAGGAGCAGGCCAGCAGGATCATCTCCCACATCAAGACATCACGAAGCCTCCACATCATGTGCCACATCCCAGTCTTCTGCTGGATCACTGCTACAGTTCTGGAGGACGTGTTGAAAAGCAGAGAGGGAGGAGAGCTGCCCAACACCCTGACTGAGATGTACATTCACCTTCTGGTAGTTCAGATCAAAGTCAAGAAGGTCAAGTATGATGGAGGAGCTGAGACAGATCCACTCTGGAGTCCAGAGAGCAGGAAGATGATTGAGTCTCTGGGAAAAGTGGCTTTTGAGCAGCTGCAGAAAGGAAACCTGATCTTCTATGAATCAGACCTGACAGAGTGTGGCATCGATATCAGAGCAGCCTCAGTGTACTCAGGAGTGTTCACACAGATCTTTAAAGAGGAGAGAGGCCTGTACCAGGACAAGGTGTTCTGCTTCGTCCATCTGAGTGTTCAGGAGTTTCTGGCTGCTCTTCATGTCCATCTGACCTTCATCAACTCTGGACTCAATCTGATGGAAGAAAAACAACAAACAGTTTCTTTGTGGTCCAAGTTATTTAAAAATATAACTCTTAATGATCTCCATCAGAGTGCTGTGAACCAGGCTTTACAGAGTCCAAATGGACACCTGGACTTGTTCCTCCGGTTCCTCCTGGGTCTTTCACTGCAGACCAATCAGACTCTCCTACGAGGCCTGCTGACACAGACAGGAAGTAGCTCACAGACCAGTCAGGATGTAGTCCAGTACATCAAGAATCGGATCAGTGAGAATCTGTCTGCAGAGAAAAGCATCAATCTGTTCCACTGTCTGAATGAACTGAATGATGGTTCTCTCGTGGAGGAGATCCAACAGTCTCTGAGTTCAGGAAGTCTCTCCACAGATAAACTGTCTCCTGCTCAGTGTTCAGCTCTGGTCTTCATCTTACTGACGTCAGGAAAAGATCTGGATGATTTCAACCCATGGAAATATACTAAAGACATGAAGTCTATTCTGAGGCTGCTGCCAGTGGTCAAAGTTTCCAAAAAAGCCATGTAAGTACTAAAATATTAAAATATTTCTAAATAAGTACAATTTAAATAAACTTTGTAATGTGATGACAAATGGATCCACTTCAGAATCAGAACTTTGACTTTGTAAAACATGACCCGTTGATGCTTCATGTGATATTTATGCTAGTAAATAACCAGAGATATTTTTGTCAATTACTACAGAGTGAACAAACATGTGGATGTTTATCAAATATTGTTTTATAGACGTGTTCTTATTAAAGACGAAGGTAAATTTGTTGTTATCCGTCCACAATAATCAGAAAAACACAACGGATGGGACTCGAGCCAGAAAGCTCCTGTTTAGTCTCATCAGTTCAAGAAATATTTTCCAGAGACTTTGAGCTTGACAACATGAACTTTAATGAACTCCTGTCTGGCTTTTTGTCTTTCTCACAATAATGGAGTCCTCCTGGGTTTTCTTCTATGGAACACATGAAGAATTAAAATGTGACGGACGGTGTGATCAGAAAGTGACGCAGCTTTACCTTGGAGTTCATCTTGAATGGTTTTGGATGGTTTCCTTGGTTCTTTTTCTACCATCAACACGATCTGTCTGGTCAAACTGGGTTTGCAGTTCCTCTTAAGTTCACAACCTGAGAGGTCGACTATAGTCTCATGAACCTTCTACTTTTGAATCATATTGGCAGCTGTTGTCAGAGGAACGTGGAGGTGCTCTTTTACTGTTTGTTTCCTTTAAATAGGTTGAATGTTTAATGAAAAACATTGTAGAGAGCCTGCGATACTGAATAAAGTCAAACAGTTCTAAAGTTAACTATCATGAATATTAAACTATTTAAAGGAAATATCTCACTGAGCTGAGATCAGTTGGCAAACAGCATTCCTGATGGAGTCTCCCACATCTCTCAACTTCAAAAGTGTGTTTAGTTCATACCATTTTTAAATGTTGAAGTGAACCACTCATTTTAAATCAACTGTGAAACAGTATTAATGATTTCTTAATCCTCATTCAAAGTAGAAATCAAGTTAAATGTCTATGTTACAAAGTAATTATGCATTTTTGATCTTCTGTCTGAAATGAGAAAGGAGTGATGTCGGTCAAAAGTCGGAGACAGTCCAAGACAGGTTATTGGAACGAACTGTCGTGTTTTTAAACCTCTCAGACAGAAATAATAAAACTGGCACCTGTAAGTGTCATTTCTCCAAAATATTTTCTTGTCTGTAACTAACCGTTCCTAAACATTTCTGATGTTTTCTCGACTTGTAATGACCCTCTGACGTCACTAAAACCACACCCCTGTTGGTTCTTTCAACCAATCAGGACTTCCCAAAAGTGACCGGAAGCAGAACTCTTTAAAAGTCGATACTTCCTAGTTCCAGAAAAGTTCTAGTTCGGAGAAGCTCAGTGCCTGGAGAAAGTTCTGAAGTGCTGGAGTTAGTTGGGAGTTCTTCCGTGTCTAGTTGGGATTATGGAGTCTTCCACATCTGAGTGGAACCTCTGACGGACTCACAGCTCATGTGAGTCCACCCGGGAGGTGAGCGTGTTGTTGAACGGAGTACCGTCACTACTTCGGACGATTCTCAGCCATCCTAAGGAGACGCTGAAAGGTAGCGTTGAAATGGAACTCCGTACCGGAGCTGACCTATCTTCTGCAAAGGTAACGAGTCGCTTCACTGCCTAGTGTACCGAGGCTGAGCTGTGGTCGGATGGAGGGTGCCATTCCTAGTCAACACACTTTCTTCCTCCACATCTTTTCTCTCCATTTAAACTCCTTCATTTCCCATCTTCAAACTTCTATCTTGCCAGTAATTAATCCAGATATCTTCAGAAATGTCTGTTGTTTTTATTAAGTAAAACGTGCCAAGTTTTATTAATCAGAGCCGATAGTATAATCAAGTGTACAATGTTTTGATGTTAAATTTTGATTCTGTTAATAAATGACCACATTCATTTTGATGGGTCAAAGAAAATTAACGTCTCATGTCACTGATTAGACCATCTGTAACACAGTACCTCTGTCACATATCTGTCAAGTAGCTCGAAAAAGTGAGAACCCGTTATTAAAAATTGATTGTAGTGGAGCTCTAAGCTAACTGAAGCTAACCTAACCTTAGCATATTACAGAGACGTTCTTAACTTAGAACTGTTCTTAGTTCTTAAAGACTCCTGAGAGACGAGTGTCTTTCTGAGAGTCCAGGATTGTTTTGATCTTTGAACCGAGTATCGTGTCACGTCTTGTGAGTTGAAATTAGAGTTACATCCTGTTCAAAGTCAAACTCAGCTGTTTCCACAACAACAAACCAACAAATGCTTCCCAGCTTTTCCAGCACTGGTCACT